CAATATTGGAACACTTTTACAACAGCATATTCCTGAGACTAAATCAAGTAAAAAAGTCCTGTACTACTTTTCCCTCCGACAAACAGTTATCGAGAGATTATAAGTTAAACATTGAAAAAGTTATAAATTTTCTCTTGAATATCTCAAAAAGTATTAGGCAAATAAAAAAATGTTTCAGACAAAAGTTGTTCATATCAATTAGTAGAATAAGATAGCACAATAAATAATAGGGGGTTCCATTATAAAAATTTAAGGTCACCTTTACATGACCTTCAAATGATTATCCAAGGTCGAACCAATTGCACCACCTTATGCCTCCCTCAGGACCATACAACTTTTATCTGAAACATTTTTCTCGATCTGGCTTACTTGACGAAATACTTCCGATTGTCGATTTAAACGGACCACCCTGTATATACATATATATACATAATATAATTACATATATTTAGTATGAAATACATGTTACAGGAACGAGATAAAAATATTATTCCTGCACACGATACTAGTTCAGATGAAGAAAATTCCAATAAAGAAAATAGTTCATTTCTGGAAGAACAAGCCACTTCATCGTCGTCATCGTCGATATTTAGAAAGTTGCAACGACCATCTGTTAAGAATATTTTAAAGGGCACATCACAAGGACGCGCAATTTTGAAGTCGTACGAGAAAAAAAAATTATTAAGCAGAATATGCCGAAGTAATATTGTGGATTTAATTTTGTCAGAAGTTTTAAATAATATTCACGGGTAAATTTGTTATATAAATTATAAAATAATAAATGTTTTACAAGGAATAATATATTTATATTATTGTGTAATTATTTTGTATAGGCCACTGAGAAATGAAGATTTTGAAGCATTATCCAAGGAAATTGAAGAATTATTTCCAACAGAAACACGCCACGCCTATTATGTTCCGCCTATACCGAAGAAACGTTCGAGAAATAATAAATCTATAACATCACGTGGTAAACTGGTTGATAAATATAGAAATAAAATACGAAATTATAAAAAACTAACAGGATGTAGCTTGACAGACACCAGTTCTACATCTCCTTCAACATCTGCTTATAATAGCGAGTGTGAAGGTAATTACATAATAAATAGATGGATAGAATAATCGATTATATAGATACAATGCTTTTTTATGTTTGTTTATGTTCAAAATAATTTACTGTTTTATTTATTACTATTTCTTGTTTTTACAGATGATTCTGTAATTCGCGAAAGTATTTTGTGGCTTCAAAGTAATCAGTCACCATGGCAATTAGTTGAAAATCACTGGAAAGTAACTGTGGCATACAGACGAAATAAAATACTAAAATCTTCAAATACAACTATTGAAGAAATTTTTACTCAGTGGCCTATTTTGAAACATCCTACAGCATATACATTGATTGAAGAAGATTTTACATATCTCAAGTTAACATCAGAGGATTGTATAAAGAATTGGTTTAGCTTTTTTTCTAAAATTCAGGAAATCTGTTCTCGGGAAGGTGTTAAAGAAGAAAAAATTGCGAGCGACTTACATTTTCTACTCGATGCAGATGATTTGACAGATGGTAAGTTAAAAAAATGTATAATATATATTCACACGAAATTATTTACTTTATATATTTTCAGACGCTAAAGTTGTAATACAAGTTTTGTTATTATCTCATCTCATTCCTCCAAAAGGGAGAATTCGCATTAAAAATGAACATTTTAAATCATCTATAAGTGAATGTAAAAATAGCATGATAGTACATGCAAAGGTAAGAAGTTTTCGATGTGTGTATATCTTGCATATAGTACTGCATGCAATGTATATTATTAAAAAATACATACGAAAAATTAATAAAAGATCTTATTTTCAGATACCTGGCGATATTAATCGTATTCAGGAAGAAAAAATAAAACGAGCACAACATTTAGGATTAACTGTACAACCATATGTAATAGTTGTTGATCTTACTTTTGCAGAAGTAAATGGATTCTATGTTTGCATAGATAACGTATTATATGAAGTTTCAACGGCATTAAAAGCAGTTGATTTATGTTTTAAAATATTTCATGTATTTGATGTCAATTATTCGCCAGAAAGTGAGCATATTTGGTATGTACTGCAGCTTTGTCTTTACAAGTTTTCCACAAAATATGAAAAACAAATTTCATATGTGATGCCAATTATTAATACTTTCAACTCTATGACGAATTAATCACTTTTATTTTAACTACATAGATTACTAAACATTAAAGATTATTATATAACTATCTGCCATAATATGTATATCTGTTCGTTTTGCGATAATAATTTTTTAACAGTCACATGTCTCACAGCACATTTAAAAATGGTGCACAACGCCTCACATTCTACTTTTATATGTAAACAAGACAATTGTATGCGTAACTTCATAAATTTATATTCATTTAAACGCCATTTAATACTAAAACATCCCAGTCAAAATAATACAAATGTTTCTGTTATATCTGAACTGCCTTCACTGAATAATGATTTGTCAGAAATTTCAAAAACTGATGACTTGTTTAAAAAGTACACTAATGGTGAAGATTTATTGAGCACAGAGGTTTGCAAACAAATAATGAACAATCCGTCAATAACATTACAAAAATTTGATGATATAGTAACAAGAAACGCTGCTTTATTTGTTTTAAAATTGTACTCTGATAATTCTTTATCACGATTGCTTGCACAGAAAATAATACAATATGTAAGCAATTTTTATAAATTAACTATTGAAATTATTAAACATAAATATGAAAGTACAGAGAGTGAGCGAAATGTATCATTTAGTATAAAAGATATGTGCACAATTTTACAAAATGCATTTACTGAGTTCAAAACTGAACATATGACATTACAATACTTTGTACAACGCGGTTATCTAATTATGCCACAGTCTATAGATATTGCCACTGCATTACATCCAAAACGTATAAAAACACACATAGGCATGCATGTAACAAATAAATCATTACAACTTATTCCTTTGAGACTTGTATTAACGAGATTCTTACAGTTACCAAATATTTTGCAAATGATAATAAAACACAAGTGTGAAAGTAAATGTAGTGATATATTAACTTCTATTGTTGATGAAACTGTTTGGAAACGTATTGAAGAGCAATATGCAGAAAAAGTTGTTTTGCCTTTATTACTATATTTCGATGACTTCGAAATTAACAATCCTCTTGGATCTCACAGTGGGGTACATAAAATTGGTGCCGTATATTGTACTATTCCTACTATTCCAAATGAATATTCAAGTATGCTTGAAAATATCTTTTTGCTTCAATTACACAATGCGAAGGATCATTCACAGCTGGGAAACAAAAGTATATTTTGTAATATAATAAATAAAATTAAGGAACTGGAAAGTAATGGTTTAGTTGTAAACGTTAATAGTAGGCAATATAAAATATATTTTGCGCTAGTAGGTATTGTAGGAGATAACTTAGGGCTCCATACAATTTTTGGTTTCTCTAAAAGTTTTAATTCATTATATTCGTGTAGAGCTTGTTCAGCTGATAAAATCACTCTTCAAAATCAAATATCAGAAGATTCGGAAACATTAAGAACTCGCTTAAATTATGCTGCTGATTGCACTTCAAATACTCATGGTATCCAAGAGGAATGTATTTTCAATACAATTTCCAGTTTTCACGTCATTGAAAATATATGTTTTGATGTCATGCATGATATTTTCGAAGGCATCTGCCGATACGAAATTGCAAAAATTTTAAATAATTTTGTAAACACGGAAAAGTTATTTTCTTTGGACTCTTTGAATGATAGAATACGTTTTTTTAATTATTCTACTAGTAATGATACGAACATTCCGCCTGTCATAAGTAAAACATCATTAAAAAATGAACATCTTTTAATTTCAGCATCAGAAATGTCTACTTTAGTTCAATTTCTAGGCTTAATTATTGGTGATTTAGTACCTCATAAAAATAAAGTTTGGGAGCTGTATATCATTCTTAGAGAAATTATATGTATAATAATGTCACCCATATCAACAAAAGAGACTTGTAACCTACTAGAGATTTTAATTTCAGAACATCATAAACTTTATTTAAGTCTTTTTAAAGAAGCATTAAAACCAAAACATCATTATTTAATACATTACCCGCGAATAATAATGAGGATGGGTCCTTTGAAACACTTATCTTGTATGCGTTTTGAGGCTAAACATAAACAGATAAAACAATACGCTAAAATGGTAACATCGCGACGGAATCCACCATACACTTTAGCTTTAAAATGTCAATTAGAATTTACACATCGATTGATTAATAACAAGGGTTTCGAGATTCGCTTTTCAATAGGCGTTGTTTTAAAAGATACCATAATACAACTACAGAATTATAACGATTTTAAACATACGTTAACTACAGATATTAATGAAAATTATTTTCCTGTATCGTGGTTAAGTATTAATGGGACCACATTTAAATCTGGTATGAGCATAGAAATAGGCACAGACGGTACATTTCGCTTTTTTGGTCTCATTCAATATATTATAACAAATACAGATCGGTCTGTTTATTATGTTTATAAAGAAATGGAAACATTACGATTTTCTCAACACATACATGCATTTGAAGTCGTACGAACAGAAGTATGGGGTTGTATTGCTCATTCAAAATTAATATCTTCCTTTCCTAATAATATTCATGTTATGGCAGATGAAAAACATTACGTATGTTGTACTTAACAATGTTATATTATGCTCTATTTTCATTTTATGTAAAGCTGTATAAAGGATATACAAGCTAATTATATAAGCTAATTATAAGATGTTATTATAATACATTAAAAAAATAAAGAGTAAGTGTAATAGATAAAAACTGTATAATGTTTTGTGTATATCTTATTATAATAAACTGTTTTTCCTTACAAGCATATGTGTATAACGTCGTTGCACATATGTAAAAATTAAAATGTGTAGATGACTATATTTTTTATTAATGTGATCTTTTTATTCATAATTGTATACAAAGTATACATGTAACAATTTATACGAATGCATAACCCAAATAAATCTAACATTTGCGTTTAAACATGCAGTCATATTGATGAAAAATCTTAATATTTACACATTTGTAGTTTTGGCATAAAGCCGCGATAATACATAATAAAATTATAGGCTTCCGCAGTGCAAAGAATTGGTGGTTTGGCTTCTGGGTAGATGTCGCATCTTTTGTAGATTTGAAATAATGTATTATTGCTCGGATCTGGCTTCTTGGTTAGTGCCACATCCTTCATGGATTTCTTTCTGATGTTTCGTGAACATTTCAGTTGACTTTTTTAGATTTGATTCCCTGAAGAAGCGAACTGGAATGTTTATGAAACGTCAGAAAGAAATCCATGAAGGTTGTGGCACTAACCAGGAAGCCAGATCCAAGTAATAATACATTATTTTAAATGAAATATAATATATATGGTCAACGCGACTAAATCAAGTCTTAACTTAAGATTATATTTTGTTGAAATAAGAATATAATATAAAATAGAAGATATATGCATTTCTTACAAAAAAGCATTTAGTCTTTCCAATGTGACATTTGGTACATATAATCAAATATATTGTTCTTTAAATCAGGAATATAGTCCTAATAAAATTATATATATTCGCGTTGTACGAATATTATTTTCATTGAAATAAATATTTGTACAACGCGAATATGTATAGTTTTATTTGGACTATATTCTTGATTTAAAGAACAATATATTTCATTATATGCACCAAATGTCACATTGAAATTGTTTGAATGAAATTAATATTTGTACAACGCAAGTATATACAGTTTTATTTGGATTAAATTCTTGATGTAAAGAATAATATATTTAATTATATATATATATACAGGGTGTGTCCTAATACCCGTATGTCCCGTAGATGGCAGATAGACCGGGGCAAACTGAATAGAAAAGTCCTATACTATTTTGCAAAATTCGCAGTAGTTATCGAGAAATTAATTTTAATGTCTGAGCGAATGAGAGCGTAGAAGGCGGCAGGCCGGACTCGGCAGGCAACGGTGGGGCATCATGTAATAGCGAGAGGTGGAGCGGCGCGCCGAAAAAAGTTGTCAAAAAAGCTCGCCGCTCGCTGCGTGACAACGTTTTTTCGGCGCGCCGCTCCACCTCTCGCTATTAG